CTTGCTCCTAAACATGCCCAGGTCTCATCAAGTTCCATCAGAGAGAACACTGGTTGTCCCTTGTCTGTGGGGATGATGGAAGGATAAAGGGTGCCACCTTGGCATTTGCATTTGTGTGGCCCTTGGTGACCGTGGTGGGCCTGTGGTGACTACTTGTTCAGAAACTGGGGGCCTGGATACAGCCGTGATTGTCCCAGATGTGTGTGAAGCACAGTTCTGCTTACAGACTCAAGGCTGTCTTTTAGGCCAATAAGGTTATCTCTACTCAAGTTCGTGCATTCATTAAAAAATAATAACAGAGCTTCCTGGCCCAGGAGGTACTGAGAACTTAAAGGGTATTGAAAAGAAGGGTCCCTGTCGCCACATTTATATGTGTGGAGTTACGAATAACAATAGCCAGGTGAGTGTCTCTTTCTGCCCACCACTGTCCACTCTACTCCCTTTGTCCTCAGTAGGTTTCAACTTGGCCAAAGGTAGAATGGATAATGCTGCTGTGTGGACCATATATGTCTGTGCACAATATTTAAGGCTCCATTTAAAACAGGGCCCATTGCATTTAGTGGATCCCAGGGAGCCCATTCTACTGCTCTCTTTGGTTAGAAACCAGACTATAAACTGAAATTAGAACTTGACCAGTCTAGCCAAGCAGTGGCATATGAATGGCTGTGATTTGGTTCCTCGGGAGAAAGCTGTCCCCTTTTCCCTGAATTCCTGTCTACCAGTCATGGGCTCGTCAGGTAGACGTTGGTTCTGAGGAAGGGTAGGGGGCCTGTGAGGAGACAGAAGAGGTGAGAATAGATGGTAGGGAGGGCATTCACTCTCAAATATGAATCTGAAGTTTAACGAAAATAAGATAACAGTGCCCCCAGTGAGGATGGAATAATTATATTTCTCTTCGCCTGGAATTCAAAGTGGATTTGAGTCTGTGTGACATTCATAGCAGGGAGATTATGCGGGCGCTGACTCAGCACGAAGCCCCCTACAAACTCCTTATGTCATCTGTTTGCTCTGTCCTCCTCCACTTAAGAAAGTGATGACTTGGCAGGCACTGCAGACATGGAGAGTGGAGGGTCCAGGCTGTACGTGGAAGGCCCACTCCCTCACACCTCAGTGTACGGCAGTTCTGCTGTAGGAGCCCCCACTCCCTGGGGCCTCAGGATTACAAGACTTTCCCAAAGGCTGCAAGTCCCTGGGCCTGACTTGCAGTCCTGGGAGGATAGTTCTCCTGAAGTCAGTGGTGTAGATAAGGGTAGGGCAACTCTATGTGTTGGGTTTTAAATATTCCACACTGTAGTACCTGTAAATCATTACACTGATCTGCAAACTCCAGGCTGCATCACCCAGACCACCTCGACTCTGGCAGCAGCACAGCCGTGCACGGTAGCCCCCGTGTCTCGGATCATCTCGGTTACGACAGTCTGGCCTCCAGAGGAGAGGAACTCATACTGCATCTCAGGCTGCAGGCTCCTATGGGCAGCATCAGCAGGCCTGAAGGAGAACGAAGATGGACCTGTGTCTTAGCCCAGAATTGGATGAGGAAGAAACGTAACAACTGGCAATAGATTTGTCTCTCTTGTTGGTCTGTGAGTGCCCTGATGTCAGTATCTTTGTATCCACAGCTGTCCTGGCCAATGGTGGGTTTTCAGTACTGAGGGAGGGTGGAGTCAGGGCAAGAGCGTGAGTTTAGGAGTTGGGGGGATGAGCCAATTGCCAGCTACCTGCTGTCAGTTGTCCTATCAGAACTGTTTCTGCATCGTACAGTAAGAACATCCACAACCATGAGCGGGTTGTTGCGGTGACTCATAAGCTGCCACCTGAGAGAGGACCCAACAAAGCCCAGCCCAGGAATAAATGAAGGGGTCATTTTCCTCCCGTGGCTCACGTTTGCAGAATTGAGATACTCCGAAGTTTTAGGCTCAAGTGCCAGGCACAGGAAAACGAGGAGGTCAAGGGTGGTTTTCGCGGTAGAGGAAGGAGGCAGGCTGCAGCAGGCTGTGGGAGGTGCCGATGGGCACAGATGTACTGATGCCTCTGATGGTGTCCAGCGCTCCTCAACAGAGCATGAGGAAGCCCTTGGAAGCTGGTGCTGGAGCCCGGAGTAAAGCTGGGGCTGGTGGGGTGGAGGTGAGTCCTCAGCATCAAGTGAACATTGGGGTCAGATGAGGAAGCAGGGTCAGGAAGACACTCAGAGACAGAGCCTTGGGGTGAAGAGTGCCAGGAGACCGGAAGGAAGGTGGAGAAGGACCAGGTTCAGGTGACTACTTTCCAAGGTGGAGGTCTGTGCATGACTGGCAGAGTGGAGCGGGGTCAGTAGATTCAGAGAGAAGCAAAATGCTAGACAAAGGAGCGTGGGAAAGAAGCAGGTTGCGAGGGTGTAGGGGGATGGGACTAAGGCCTAGGTTGGAGGGATTCACTTTGCAAATGAGGAAGGACATATGTCTCATTTGAATACGTGAGGGGAAGAGACTATAGCCGAAATGTATGCCTATTTTTGGAAGAAAGCTGGCAGAAAATTTGTAGGTTATATCTAGTAAGCAAGGCGTCCGTCTCTGGTTTTGGGGGATGAGCAGGTTTTCCTTTTTGGGAACTGGAGCAGACTGTGTTTTGAGATCCCAGAGAGGAGTCGATTGGAGCACAGCAGACCTTGGACCTGTTAAGGAAGGCATCCTGAGAGTAAATGCACACACGTAGTACATAACTCCACAGACTGCCCCTCCGTGCACTCACTGCGAGGTGGAGAGGTGGATGTTGGCAGTTGGCTAAGTTCACTCTTGCCAACACCAGGCTGGGACACAGGATTCCAACAGGGCCCCAGCCAAACGCCAGATCACCGTGTATCACAGACCTTTATGGAGAATCAAAATCACAAGTGTTAAATCTGTGAATTTCAAGTGCCTCCTGTGGCAGAAGAAGGAGGCTGTAAATCATCTAGAAAGTTGTAAGTGGGCACAGTGGGCGATGCCATCAGTGTCTATGTTTTAAAGAGACTGGCTTCAGAGGGATCTGTTCATAACTGTGGCTGTTCTTTCAACTGCACTTAGAGTTCTCACAGTTATTCTCAAAATTCTGTTTCATTTGATATCGATAGCACTCCTGTGGAGTATTTTAATGATCTTTGTTTGATGTATGAGGAAAGCCACCCTCAGCGAGGTCAAGCAGGTTTCCCCTGGGATGCCAAAGACCCCACAGACAAGCTCTTCCCATTTCTCCCCCATCCCGTGTTTGTGCCATCATTCAGTAGCAATCTCGAGAAGTCCTTTCTTTATGCTAGCGTACATGTTGTCCCCACTCAGGGAAATCCCGGCTTCCTGGGAATGAGCTGTAGCCCATTCGGGATGGCGCCTGGGCAGGCAGAGGGGCAGGTATGGAGAAAGTGGCAACGATGGGGTTGGTGTCAGGGAAGCCTTGCCTGCAACTCAGCGGCCTTTCCAAGGACACGTGGCAGGAGGCAGGAGGGGCCAGGTAAAGGCTGGTTATGGACAGGTGAGTGAGAGAGCAGGTGAGGACGAGGATGAAGAATCTGTGGTCCAAACACCTTGGAGAGTTGCAATGACGGGAGATGCAGAGCAGGAAGTGGGAAGGGTAGCACATGAGAGAGAGGACCCGTGGTGAAGAAACCCAGGGAGGTGGGGCCCAAGGTGCTGGAGGGTGCAGGGCACGTATGTGGTGGGAAGGCACTGGAGCATTCGCAGCCTTGTTCCCTGCTTTCAACATCGGGTCTGCTTCCACATGGCCCCTCCCAAGGGCAGTCACCCGGGGGCATGGATTTTTCCTGAACCAGCCTGTCTTCCTCATACTTGAGTTTGACAGCAGAAGCATGGGTGGGCAGGAATTCCCAGATGGGAAGCTGGCTTTTCCCACCAGTGGCAGACCCAGTGGGGTGCAGTGGGGGCAGCCTGCCCCGGGTGCAGTAACAGGGTGCACTGTCTAGAGAAGTTAAAAGCAATAATAAAACTGCCTAACAGTCATTCTGCTTTTTATTATCACTATGCACTGGCAATTCTAAACAATGGCAGTGATAAGATATCCCACCCCCACCCCTTGGTCTTCCGCTGCTTCCTCTGGGGCAGAACCAGCTTCAAGCCTGCTGGTAAGCAGCCCCAGGGGAGAAATGCACACACCAGCTTAACCCCAGCTGCCTCTGCTAACCCCACCCACCTCTCTGAGGTCCCTGCAGCCAACCAGGAAGAATGGGTATGTGTGCAAAATCCCCGCCCAGGGGAGCACCCCCAGCAACAGCTTTGAGGCTTCCAGCATTTTCTGGGCTGCCCTTGGTTACTGCTCAGACTTCCTCCTCCCCGGCTACCATTCAGGTGCCCTTGCAGAATGGCAGAATTGCAGTCTGGATGTTGGGAGATGCTCCCCTGGACACCTTGTCTGGGTGCCTCCTGGGAACTTGGTTCGCCCTGTTGCATCCTGGCCATGTCATTCACTAGCCCGTCAGAGTGCGAAACTCGCCGCCTTCATGACAGCCACTTCTATCTGGGTCTTGACTGTCCGAAAATTCTCCCATATTCTCAAATAGAAATTCTCTCTCCTCAGTCCTGGTTCTAACCCTCTGGGATCATATGAGCAAGTCTAATCCATCTTCCGTGTGCCCAAAAGCAGCTCTCTCGTTGCCCCAAGGCTTCTCTTTTCCAGGCTGTCTTGGAGCGGAGCCCCCCACCATGCTGGCCCCTGAATGCGTTCCTCCGGGAGGGGAGAGAACAGGGGCTGATCTAGATATGCGCTCCTCCATGCCAGGCACTCTTTCCATATTAAATCATACCACCCTCCCAGGTGTGAGTTATTATCATCCCCATTGGTTGATGGGGAAACTGAAGTTGCGCACCTAGCCGAGCACATACTCTGATTGTGGGGGCGCCTCTTAACCCTGAAGCCCTAGGCTGGATGCAGCACGCTCTTGCTGCTTTTTTGGGCCTGGTGCCTTAAAGCTGCCATCCTATGTGTCCTCCCCTGCAAGGGTGCAATGTGGTGACAGGGGCCTTGCTGTCTTGCAGAAATCTCCTTCAGAGTGTGGATGTGTGGGGGCAGCCTCGAGATTGTCCCCTGCAGCCGAGTAGGCCATGTCTTCCGGAAGAAGCACCCCTATGTCTTCCCGGATGGAAATGCCAATACGTATATAAAGTAAGTGCAAGTACGCACCTCAGGGGCTCTGTGGGGACAGCAGAAAATTAAGGGCATTCCTGGTGATGGATTGTTGCTGCCCAAGGTTCTCCGGTAGGTTACTCGAGTGTTCTGGATGGACAGGAGCCACACATCATGCTCCCTGGGACTCTGCCTAAGCAGGGGAGGTCAGGCCTGCCCTTCAGCATTAGGCAGGAGGCCCCCAGGCTGTTCTCCACCACTAACTCCTCTGGGGCTTGACAAGGCCCCACATGTGGCCTCAGGGGCTTCAAGTCATCGGGCAACACCATCCTGCAGGGCTCAGGCTCTGAGTATTTTGGGGTCTTTGGTGGGGAAGGAAGGCTGTTTTTGCTCCTGAGTTCTAGAAGATCCCCTGCCCCACCTTCAGGCTGGGTCACCAGGGGAAAGATCCTTGGAGGATCCGGGAATGGGGACGCACAGGTGGATACAACTCCCGTGCCTGCTCCAGGGCCTCGCTGGTGCACAGAAAGGGCCCAGGCTGAGGCCCCTGCGACCCTGGGCTCCTTCCCTGGGGCATCTCATCTGCCTGGGGGACAGGACGAAGATGCTGGGGACTCAGCAACCCAGCGGTGCCCACTGGCCTCTTCCTGCCCCCTCCCTTCACGCACCCTCTCCTTTGCTTGATTTCTTCTCTTTTAACCTGTCTCCTCTCCTTGAAAAATAATTCATGTATAATCCTTTTCCCCTCTTTCATCTTTTCTTCTAGCTTCTTCACTCCTTTTTCCTAATCGTCTGTCATCTGACAGCTTCACTCACCCATTTATTCCCCTTTTTCCTTTTTTTTCTGTTATTTGGTCCATTTTGGGGAGGGAGGAGCTAAGCACTCCTTTTGGTATTTTTCCTCATTTGGAGTGTCGCTTTCCTTTTCTGGGTCCTCCCATCCTCGGTTTCTCACACGTATGAACAGGTATCGGTCACGTCCTGACATGGCAGTCAGGGCGAAGGCAGGGTTTTCGGCAGGGAAGTTAACACCTGTCGCAGCACCATGGTGGCAAGTGTGGGGAATGAGAAGCCCAGCGGGCGGGGGCAGTGGGGATGAAGCGGGCTGCCTGGATCTCAGGGACAGGTGAGCTGGGGGCGTCTGGTGTAGGAAAGCCATGGGGCTGTGATGTGCAGTGGGGCCAGACTGGGATGAGGGGGCACAGCCTTGGGCTCCAGAACATTCACTGTCTTTGAGATTGGGCCCTGGCCAGTGGGTCAGTCAGTAGTTAGAGAAAGGTGGCACAGCTGTCTCCTCAGCAGCTTCTGGTTTGCTGTTGGTTAGGCCAGTGGAAAGAGCCAGCATGTGCTGACAGCTGCCTTCAGTGCACCAAGAACCGGGCTGCGTGCACATGACTGTTATTTCACATCCACCAGCTTGGAAGGGCTCCCCAGACTCCTCTCTCGGAGCCTCTGCTCCAACCAGAACCAGGAGTCTGAGGAGCGCACCCTTTTTTTGAGAGCCCAAGTTCACCTACGTGGGCCTCGGCCGGTGCTGCTCCGCCCTGTTCCTGCCGTCTGACTGTTTCCCCTTGTCCCCCTCTCTGCTCTCCGGCTGTTCCTGGCGTCCCTGCCTCCCTAAGTGCTGAATGATGACATCCTCTGTGTCTGTCTGTCTCTCTCTCTTTTTCTGTGAACTTTGGGGTCAGATTCAGAGCAAATACCTGATTTTAAAAACTTCAGAGCACTGGGAAAATGTCTGAAAGAGATGGCTTGATTACTTAATTTCTTACACCTGCACCAAGCTGCTCGCATGGCTCCGGGAAGACCGTGTGTGATTGGCTCTCCCCTTGCGGAGCTGGAGCCTCAGTACTTCCCCTGTGTAAGGGGAGCACCTGGAGGACAAGCCCGAGGGTGGCCGGAGGTGAGGTGGCCAACACAGGCCCTGCTCTTTCCTGTTGGTCGCAGGGATGTGCCAGGTTCTCCTGGCTCTTTTCTCCCTGCGATTTTTTTTTTCAGAAGCCATGGAAGTTATTAGTTTCTGGCGTAATTTTTCTGGTCTGTACCTTTTGGGGCAGAGTTTGTCATTACTACTAAAATCCTGTGTCTTGGGGTAAAGGCCCCTTTGGAGATGGAGTAGGCTTGGCTGGGCTCAGCACCCTGGGGAGAATAGTGTTACTGGATCGTGGTGGCCCCACCTGGTGATGCTGCCAACCGACTCACGTGTGTGTTTTTACCTGGATCCATCACGGGTCCTCTCAGCCCCTCCCTGACACCTCCTGTCTCCCCAGGAACACCAAGCGGACAGCTGAGGTGTGGATGGATGAATACAAGCAGTACTATTATGCTGCCCGGCCCTTCGCCCTAGAGAGGCCCTTTGGAAAGTAAGTGTCCCTTCTGGTGGATTTGTGCAGAGTCGAGAAGAGCTGCAGCTCATAGGCCCGAGGCCAACGGGTCCTGACAGGCCCGACCGCTGGGCCGGTCTCCCGAGCCTCTCAGCCCCTCTGGGGCCCAGGCTATGGCTGTCTCCTCTCGTACCCTTCTTGCTCCTGCCCGGTTCTGGGGGTGTGGGACTTTAAGCGGCTCTTGCAGAATGACTATCTGGCAACCCGGATCACCAACTCCATAGGTAGAGTTGTGCCTTGTTCGATGGATGGATATTTCTAGCTTTTTACAGAAAGGTAGGATGTGGGACTAAACAGCCTTAATCCCTCCAGGTCAGAGCTCCTTCCTCCTAGTTCTCAGTCCCCCGAGCCTGAATTCTTCTCCTTCCTAGGGGTGGCATCACACGGTGTCCCCCACAGCAGTACTCCAGCTTAACGGGGGTAGAAGAGGACAGGGAAAAGGGTGTTTATTAAGTGCTAGATGCCATCAGAGAAGATGTCTCATTGTCCTCCCCAAACTCTGAGAAGTGGGTATAATTTCTCCTGTTCTGCAGAGGAGGCCACTGAGGTTTCTACGAGTTAAGCTACTTGCCCTAGATCACGCCACTGTAAGAGGGGGACGAGGCTCAAACCACACCTGTCTGATTCCAAAACTAAATGATGTTGCCTTCCCCAACCCAGAGCTGATTTGAGGAAAGATGGCAACTTCATTTATGTTATCGTTTGTCTTTTTGGGGGGGGAACCAATGGTTTTTGTCATACGAATGTCATTCGTTGGTCAGGCTGTTGAGCAGATGAGTTTTTTGCAGCCAACACTTCATAGGTTGAGCCCGTCACTGCTGGGAGGAATAAATCAGACCCCGGCAAAGTGATTTGTCCCCCTAGTTCTCTCACTCAGAGCCTCACAAGGCATTCTTTCTGAGTCCTCACCAACTCCCAGTCCATTGGCTATGTTCATCCACCCCTCCATTCTGCACTTCCCTCTCTAGCTTGGATTCCACTGTCATGCTTAAAGAGAACGCTTAAAAGATGTTGTTCTCAGATCTTTTGCCCTGTTGTGCATCCATCAACACACCCCAGGCAAAGTTTTCTCAACCCTGGATGACCCTGACTTTGTACCTTGTCCTCCGCTGTGCTTGGCTGCTGATCAGTTCTGGGAAATACCAGCTGGTTCTGCTAACCCCACGTGGCCCTCAGTCTCAGGAGCCCTTGGTGTGCCTACTGGTCCTACCACGTTTTCTGGGCAGCACTTCCCCTCAGTCTCCATTTAAACCTTCTCCACTCACCCCAGCCTCTGAGTCCACCCCCCTTTCTTTCACTCACAGCAGATGACACCTGTTTTATGGGTGAAATAGGTGGTGTCAACTTCCCTAGACAGACCCGCCTATAAAGTTCACTCTACAGTATCTGCACCATCCTCCTCTGTCTCTTTCATCTCCAAGGACAAGGTGTGCTTCCTGCTGTGTCAGGCCAGTCCTCCACCTGTACTCTGAATGTACCTTGCATTCCTGCATTCATTCATAAATCAACATTTATCGAGTTCCCACTGCCTGCATTAATCTCCTCCTGCCTGCTGGCTTCTCAAACTTTCATGTGCACGCAGATCTCCTGTGGATCTTGTTAAGATGTGGATGCTGGCTTGGGGGGCTGCATTTCTAATAAGCTCCCAGGTGATGCTGTGCTGCTGGTCTGAGTATCTCAATTCGAGAAGCAAGGTTCTAGGGCGATGGTTCCCAGACTAGCCTGCACACTGCAATCACCTGGGGAGCTTCAGAAACTACTGATGCCTCTACTCCACCCCCAGAGAGTGGATTTAGTCTGGGGTATGGGCTGGGCTATAGAATTTTTAAAAGACCTCCCACCCTGGGGTGAATCTAATGTGCAGACGATGTGGGAACCGCTGTTCTAGGGGACTTTGCCCTTCTTGTGTCTCCACACTCCCTGATCCCTAATCTCTCTCTACTGCATGGTTCCCATCAACATTTAAACGGACTGTGTCTTACATCTTAAAAATAAAAAAAAGGAAGAGGAGGAAAGAAAACAAAGTACAAAAACTCCCCTTCAATCCAGCATGGCTCATCACTGACACCCCTGTTTTCTGCTCCTTAGAGCCAAGCTTCATGAAACAGCTGCCTGCATTGGCCATCTCCGGCTCCCCCTCCCTCTCTCTCTTCTCCTGACTGTGATCTGAGGCCTTGCCCTCCATCTCCTGCGATCCCTCCCGCCTGGGTCACCCATGACTCCCTTGGACCCCTTACTGTCCTCTGTGTTACCCCATCAGGACGAGTCTTCTCCCTCCCCATGCTCCTTCCAGGGCACCTCTGATCTCTGTGTTTCCGTAACTGCAGTCTTGGCTTTTGTCCTGCTGCTCAGGCTCCACCTTCTCCATCCTGTTAGCAGCCTCAGTTTCCTCTTTCTGCCCTTTTATGTTGGTCTTCCCCGAGGGTCTGTCATAAGCCCTCTTCTTTCTACCCATTCTCCCTGGCATCAACCACCACTTCTGTGCTGCTGTTACCTGCATCTCTATCTCTAACCCGGACCTCTCCTCTGAGCTCCAGGCCCTTATATGCAAGTGTCAACTGGACATCTCTGCCTGGATGTCCCCCTGGCTCCTCCCACTCAACAAGTCCTAACTGAACTCATCCACTTTGCTTCTAAACTTGCTCCTCATCCCATATTCCCCATCTCAGTGAGTGCTCTTCCTTGCATCCTGTTGCCTGAGTCAGAAATCTGGGTGTCAACATTGCCTCCTCCCTCCCCCACTTCTCCCACATCCAAACATTCACCAAGTCCCGGTGGTACTGCCTCATTCATGCACTGAGCACCCAGGTCCTTGCTCAACACTGAATATTGAGCATTTTTTAAAAACAATGATGTCATTCCTGTCCCCGTGGAGCTTAGAGCCTGGTGAGGAACTGTGGTTAGTGCTGTATAAGAAGTCCTGGTACTGTGAGAGCACGTGGTCCAGACAGGGGTAAAAGGAGGTGGGCTGGACAGAGCGGGGCCAGTTCTGCATGGTTGCCCAGGCAGGACAAGGCGTAAATGAAACTCAAGCAGGTGCTGGGGGTGCAGATGGAAAAAAGTAGAGGAACTCAAACCTGTCACTTCTCTCCATTCCCCGCCTCACTTCCCTACCTGAAAGCACGATCAGCACCAGGGTTTCTATGACCGCCTCCTAACTGCTCTGTCAGCTTTGCCCCCATTGGACCCATTCGCCCTCAGTAAGGAACTCTTCAAATGGAAACATCACCACATCATGCTCTGCTTAGAACCCATCAACTGCATCCGTTCAAGTCCAAACTCCTCCACAGAGCCTCACAAGACCCTTTATGGTCTGTATCTTCATCTCGCATCCCACTCATTTCCACTCTTCCATCCCCCACATATGTACATTCACACACACACACACACACACACACACACACACACACACACTCTAACCTCCTGCAGCGCTGCTCCTGCCACCAGAACTCTTCTCACTTCTCCACATGCGCTAATCTCTCTTTGCTATTCCTCTGCCTCTACCTGGGGCCCGTACCTCACCCACTCTCTGGTGTGTCTGGATAATGTCCACTTTTCCTTCCAGATACCGGCTTCACCATCACTGTTTTGACCACCACTGACCCGACAAGCAAGGGTGCACCTCTGAGGTGCTCCCTCAGCCCCCGCATGCCCACCCCATGTCTGTGTAGGGCTGGGACCACTTATTTCATTACCTTTCTCTGTTGCTCGAAAGCTTGCCGTCATATCCCACATTGGGCGTAATGCCTAGCACATAGTAGGTACTCAGTAAATAGCTGATGGACAGATACCTGCCCAGGCCCCAGAACCAGCCAAAGGAGAGGATTCTTTGAGGCTGGGGCAGTCAGGGGTGGTATTTCAACTGCAGAATCCAAAAAGAGATTTGTGAGGAACTGGACCCAAAGCCCCAGCAGGGAATTATTAACACACTGAATGTTCTTGTAGCTTTTTTTTTTAATGAAAAGCAAAAGCACCCCCGAATTCCATTTCCAAGTAAGAGCACAAGTCCTCGCTGTCATCATGGCACCATTGTGAGGTATTGCCAAGTGTTTCCGTAGCTCTGTCTGGAGCCCTAGAAATATCTCTGGGTTAATGTCTCCAGCACCCTCTGGAGAGATGTGGGCACAGGTTGTGCTCTGTGCTTCCCAGCCTGGTGCCTGTCTCTGACACAGCTGTGTTTTATCTTCGTGTCTCACCCCGACCCCCGTCATCCCCAGCATTGAGAGCAGATTGGACCTGAGGAGGACTCTGCGGTGCCAGAGCTTCAAGTGGTACCTGGAGAATGTCTACCCAGAACTCAGGTATGTGCTCTACTGTTCGAGCCTTTGCCGGCTGCAGGGAGAGGCCCTTAGCCGACTTGGTCTGGAGAAGGGACACCTGTGGCCAACTAGATGAGAGTTTTTAAGTGTGTAGAGGTCTGAGAAGACCAATTGGCTCCCCTTATCCCTGAAACCAGGGAGGAATTATATTAATCAGTAGCCTCAGGGATGGAGGTTAGCTAGTAGCAGTATTTCTCAGCTGCTGGAGTTTGAGCCCCGGGGTGTGAGCTGAGAGCTCTGTTCCGGGCCCCATCTGCTCTTGTGGGTCCTGGGTCTTTCCTTGTGGCCTTGTTCCTAGTGGCACCCCACTCCCAGCAGCACAAATTGCTGTAACACAGCCCAGGGCGAAATGCCCCTGCTGTTCTCAAAACACTGCCCCAACCTCTCCAGCTGCTAGTATACTAATTGAAAGAGCAGCAGTCTTTCATCTCTCTTGTGGCTTTCCTCTAGAGTCCCCAAGGATTCCTCCATCCAGAAGGGCAATATCCGACAGAGGCAGAAGTGCCTAGAGTCTCAAAAGCAGAAAAACCAAGAGCTCTCCAATGTCAGGTTAAGCACCTGTGTCAAGATCAAAGGCGAGGATGCAAAGTCCCAGGTTAGTAACTGGCTGGGGATACGTAAACGTGTGCAGAGACTCGGCCCCCATCACCTGCTTTTACATGATGCCAGGTGTCCAGTTATACCCAGAGCTCAGCAGCAGAGCTGAAGTTTGATTCCCCCTCAGTCTGGACTGGGTTCACTCTGCTGGGTTTCCAGATGCGTGGAATTTCTCTGAAAGATGCCTTACCAGGTAACATCGTGCCTATAGGAAATTGCCATTAAGTTAGCAGTTGAGTGAAGTACGTCATTGGTGTCCAGCCTGCTGGCAGTAAATGTGGGCTGGGTCAGGCAGAGCGGCTGGCACAGCCACCTGGCGCATATGAAATGCAAACAGAAAAGCGTGCTGCTGCCTCCAGGATGAAATGCCTGCTCTGTGAGTCTCTCTGCTGATTTAAATGACTTCCAGACAGTCACAACAGATTTGGTAAAACCATCACCATCATCCGCCATCCCATCTCTTGGCAGGGCCCTCATTTGTCCCCGTCTTGCCCTCAGCAGGCCTGTGGCTCCACCTCTGCTACCTCCTGCCTCCCCCAGGTCTGGAGGAACCACTGTCACCCTTTCTTGGAAAGGTTTCCTTGTACCTTAGTTGATTCATCAGCATAAGACTCCCGTGTTTTGTGGGTCAGTGTTCTCCCCTGAGGATAGAGCAGCTCTTGTAAGGTCATTGACGCATTCCCAGCCTGTCTCAACGTCTGTAAGTAACCCTTGGCCTGCTGAATGTGTTAAAGACATCCATCTCGTAACTTCCCTCCTGGCTCTGACAACGCTGCACAATCCTGATTCTCCTGCATTTCTGCTCTTTCTGTCTCTGTTTTCTTTGCTGGCTCCTCTCCTCCATTCTCATACCCTAATGATGAGTATTCACCAAGGTTCTCAGGTCACTGTTCTCTTCTCTAGAAATGGTTTCTTGGAGATTTTATCCACACGTCCAGCTTTAGCAACCTCCTCTGTTTCATTGATTCACAAATTCTGTATCTTCATCCATCCATGAATTCGTTCATTTACTCACTTGACAAACATCTACGTTTTCTGCTGTGAAGGTGCAAAGGTGAAAGGCTAGGCTGCAGGCCTCCATGGCCCTCAAGGGATCTAATGCAGAAATAAGCAAGTAAGCAGCCCTTCTGATAGAATCTCAGTCCTGGATAGAGTTTTGTCCGGGGCACTATAGAAGCACCGAGAGAGGTTACCCAGCGTATGCGTGAGAATGACTTGAAAATGAGCTGCTTCCTGAGAGATGAGGGAAATAGCCCAGGTCAGGGAGCGGAGAGAGGGCGGCCCAGGAGATACAGCATGTGCAAAATCTGGGGCTGAGGCTGGGTCATCAGGGGAGTCCACGGCCATGACAAACTCATCTGCAATTCAAGCCAACAGGTGGCTACAAGCACATGTTGGACACCCCGACCCTCTCCCCATCCCACTAATTCTCTTCAGGTCGCACCTTTTCCCAGGCTCCCTGGTTCCACTCCTGTCCCTGCTTCTGTGAGTCCCATCACTTCTTCCCTCAGAAAAGCTGTTCCAGGGCCGGCCCCATGGCTTAGCGGTTAAGTGTGCGCTCTCCATTGCTAGCAGCCCGGGTTCGGATCCTGGGCGCGCACCGACGCACTGCTTCTCCGGCCATGCTGAGGCCGCATCCCACATACAGCAACTGGAAGGATGTGCAGCTATGACATACAACTATCTACTGGGGCTTTGGGGGAAAATAAATAAAATCTTTAAAAAAAAAAAAGAAAAGCTGTTCCTGGACCCTGCATTCCCTTCTTTTTGCCTGATCAGTATTCCTCAGCCTCAGCACTGCTGAATTTTGGACTGGATAATTCTTTGTGGTGGGGGCTGTCCTGTGCTCTGTAGGCTGTCTAGCAGCATCCCTGGCCTCTGCCCACCAGATACCAGTAGCACCCCCATACACGTCACTCATGACAATCAAACTGTCTCCAGACTTTACCAAATGCCCCTGGGGCACAAAACCGCCCTTGTTGGGAACCACTGTGTTAGAATCTGGCCACAGCCTCCAGTCCCTGCCCCTTATCCCCCATCTGACATGCAGTCATCAAACCATTGTTCCTTATCTCAGTAGCCTTTAATGGCTCCCTATTGTCTACCAGAAAAATCCACACTCTTGGCCCAGCATTTGAGGCATCTCACCACCTGCCTCCAGCTTGCCGTATCTTTTTCAAGAACCATCTCTCTGCGCCAGCAGGACACGGGAGGGGGCTGCCTGAGTCAGACAGAACAAGGGAAAGGAAGCAGAGGTGTCCATTTTGCTCTAGGTATGGCAGCCTGGCTGGGAATGACACAGTTTGCTCAAATGGCATTTTGTAAAATGTTGTGAGTAGGTGACGCACATCCCTCTCTTTTGAATCTGTGTGTGGGCGCTGCTCATGGGGGTCCCAACAGCCAGAATGTTGTCGTCCCCCTTTTCCCTGGAACAGGCGTTTGCTTGGTCTGTCTCCAGCAAAGCGGGGGCTTTTCTGCTACTTAATGTCTTTGGCTCCATAAAGAAGTGGGAGGAGGGGAGCCACAGGATCTCTGCGTCTCAGGGAGCGATCCTCCAATAGCCCAGCCCCAGGGAGAGGTTGCCAGGCCTTTATTTGACCAGAGGTAATAGTGCCTATCCCAGCTGACCTTCCAGTGGTGTGAGAAATGGGAGGAAAAAGCAATCATCTATGGGAAACTGAAGGTTATCATAGTAACAGTCCTCAAGTGAGCAGAGTTCTTTCTAGAAGATAGTGCCAGGCTGTCGCTCCTTTCTGCTTTGGAGAGAACAATTGGATTCGTGTAGCAGCAGTGTGAATTTGGGGTAATGGAAGAACACTCTGAGATAGATAGATGTTCAGTCCACTTCAACAGACACCAAGTGCTGGCTGTGCACCGGGGGCCCCAGGCTGCATGCTGGGGTGCAAGGTGGACTCAGGCTGGATTCAACACAGCTCCCTTCTAGAGGGGCTGCAGCCACAGCAGGACTGGGATGCGTGTCCAAGTGTTCTGAAGGAGTTAAACCCACCCTAGACTGATAGAAATCCACATAACTGTTTCAGCTAGAGTAATCCCCCAAGTGTGTGTGTGTGTGTGGAGTATACACCCTTGTAGGACTGACTTATGGTGCCTTTCTCCTCCTTCGTATGTGAACTCGCAGTCCTGCCTTCCTGACTCTCAGCCCCTCTACTAATGCGTCATGGCATGGAGGGGGCTCTCTCCTCTGAACCCCGCTTTGCCTCTTCTCCCCACTTCTGCTCTCCTGCATCTCTCTCCTTGTCCTGCCTTTTGGTCTGTCCAGAGGGGGTCGCATCTGCCCCTCATATCCCTTCCCATGACTCGTCCAGCCCTCTCTTCTGCTCCACCTCCTCTGTCTCTGAGAGGCCATGTCAAGGAAATGACACAGAATCCTATTAAGGAGGTATTACTATTATCCCCATCTTACAGGTGATGAAACCAAGGCCTGGAGAGATTATCCAAGCTCACATACCAGTAAGTGATGAAGGCAGGATTTGGAAAATCTGGTTGCACCACCATAGTCTCCTATTGCTGCTGCTGCCAGTCAGTGCTGATGCTGGAGCCCTTTTATTCAAGTTTAATCACAGGAGATGTCTGTCCCTGAGATCCCTCTTCCAGGCTGTCAATATTAAATCTATACATCAGCTGCACTTTGACAGCAGATAGCTGGCAAGAGATTCTTCTTCTTGGCCAGTTCCCAATGACAACCGTTATGAAAGGTCACCCCCCATGTTGGGGACTGGGGAGGGTTAGACCACAGAGTGGGCTCCTTCCCTAACATTGATGGGAACTGGGGCAAAGAATGAATGGAGGGCCACACTCCGCAGACTCCACACCAGACCAGGGGACATGCACAACGCTGGCTTCCAGCCTGGCCCGGCCCCCCTTTTCTTCCCACCCCTCACTCTGTCCCCCACCATGAACTCCCAGCCTGCATATCTACACGTGATCACTCCCTCTAAACGGTCCCCTTGGGCCTGGGTGTGTGCTAGGGACACAGTCCACCCTCAGGAGGACGGACCCAGGTGTGAGATCCATACAGGTCCTGCAATCAGGCTCGGCCCATTTGGATGGGGGATTCTGGGGTCCTAGATGTCTGGGGTGAAAGAGCGCCAGAGGGCAGGGGTCAGGAGCTCTGAGTTCTGCTTCCAACTGGCCACGCACTCTCCAGGTGGTGTGTCCCCAGACACATGGGTGTCCTCCTTGTTGAAAGGAGACTATCAGGCCATGGCTGTCCCTTGCTCTGATGCTGGCTCACATCCCTCTCCACCCCCAGCCCCATCTATCCTTCACCTGCCTTACCTCCCTTTCTTGGCTGGCTTGTCAACCATGGGAGCAAAATGTTTCATCTGGGTGTGTATTGAAGACGTCGGCCAACCCATGCCTTGGGTGAAATGCGAGAGAAATACATCATCAGTTTGTAAACGTGTGAAGCCCAAGAAGCCTCCAGGTTAACAAGTTTCCTCAACTTTGTTGGATTCCCTAGAAAAATATTTGTGAAAGATGGAAGGAAGACAGATGCACCAATCTAGTTGCTATTCCAGTTTAAAGAAGGGAAAAAACATAAATTAAAAACCTTTCAGTGTGTCTTTCTACCTATGTCCCTAGCAATTTAGGCCCCTGGCTTGTGAAGTATGCATACAGGCAGCTGATACCCTGGGTATGAGATGAAGACAAAAGCTCTTCCCCAAACCTGGACTCACATTGGCACCTCTAGGTGCATCCCCCAGTGGGACAAGGTGCCTGCATGGCGCCTTACCTGCCTGATACCACCCCTCCTACCCAAACTTTTTCAGCACACCCTTGGGAATGGCCCCATCACAACTCCCTCTGCAACATCTCTCCTGGGAGGCAAAGCAAAGGCAGTTTTCCAAAGGAAGATCTCTAGGGCCGTCTCTCTTCCTGTTGGCTTCCTACATCATCATGGTCAACGTGCAGATGGTAACAGAGCTCTCGCTCTGTGGCCAGCACCATTCTGGGCAGGCATATGTATTAACCCAT